AAACTTACAACAAAGTTAATCAAAACAGTGGTACTGGCATATGGACATATACGCCAATGGAACAGAATAAATAGTCCAGAAATAAAGACTTGCATTTACAATCATTTGATTTTTGAGAAGGGTGGCAAGACCACACATGAAAAGGACAGTCTTTTCAACAAATGGTTCTGGAAAACTGGACATCCACATGCAAATGTATAAATTTTATACCAGACACAAAAATTAACTTAAGATGGATCAAAGACCTAAACTTAAGAACTAAAATCATAAAACTCTTAGAAGAAAAAATAGGGGGAAAGATTCATATTGGATTTGGCAATGATTTCTTGGATATGACACCAAAAGCAAATACAACAAAAGAAAAAGTAGATAAATTAGATCTCAACAAAAAAATTTTTTAAAGATTTATTAGCCATTCTAGAGAGTGGGGGAGGGGCAGAGGGACAGGGTGAAAGAGAAGCCCAAGCAGACTCCCTGCTGAGTGGGGAGCCCAATGTGGGGCCCGATCCCATGACCCCAAGATCATGACCTGAGCCAAAATCAAGAGCCAGAGGCTCAAATGACTGAACCCAGGAGCCCCTAGATCTCAACAAAATTAAAAACTTTTGTTCAACAAAGGACACTATCAAGAGAGTAAAAACACAACCCACAGAATGGAATCAACGCAAATCATATAACCGATAAGGGATTAATATCCAGAATATATAAAGAACTCTTGAAACAAAAACATAACTTGAACAGACATTTCTCCAAAGACAATATGCAAAAGGCAAACAAGCACGTGAAAAGATATTAAATCATGTCATTAGGGAAATGCAAATCAAAACCACAATAAGATACCACTTCATACCCATTAGGATCAAAAAAATTGAAAATAACAAGTGTTGATGAGGATATGGGCAAAATGGAATCTGGGTACACTGCTGTCAGGAATGTAAAATGGTAGTCTGTGGAAATTAGTTTGGTGGTTCCTCAAAAAGTTAAACATGGAATTACCATGATCCAGCAATTCCATTCCTAGGTATATATCAAAAAGAATTGAAAGCAGGAACTCAAACAGATACTTGTACAACAATGTTCATAGCAACATTATTCACAACTGCCAAAGGGTAGAAACAATACTTTGGATAAACAAAATGTGCTATATACATACAATGGAATATTTTGCAGCCATAAAAAGGAACGAAATTCTGATACATGCTTTATGAATGAAACTTGAAAACATTATTGTGGTGTAATAAAATATATATGTATTTGGTCTTTGTTCCTAGCTCCTGGTGCTGAGCTCCTAAAATCCTGGTAAATTCCTGAGTGATAGGAATACCTGTTTTATGCTAATGACTCCTACTTGGGTATGGTGGGGAAAGGCTAGATAGCTTCAGGATGGGGCTAGTTATCAGGAAAACTATGTGATTAGAGGGTTAGAACTTTCAGCCCCATCCACAATCTCCAGGGAGGAGAGAGGTCAACCAATGATGCCAAGATAAGCTTTGGGGGAGCCTTCTGGATTGGTGAACACATCATATGCTGGGAAGGTGGTACACCCAGAGAGAACATGGAAGCTTTGACACACCCCCTACTCCCATACCTTGCCCTCTTCCATTTGGTTGTTCCTGAGTTGTATCCTTTATAATAAAATTGTAAGTATGGCTTTTTCCTGAGTTCTGTGAGTTTTGCTACTAATTATCCAACCTGAGAGGGGGAGGATGGGAGGAAGTCATGGAAACCTCCAAATCTGTAGTAGGCCAGACAGGCAGAAGTGGGGGTAGCCTGGAGGCCCTATTTGCAACTGGCACCTGAGTGGGGACAACCTTATGGGACTGAGGCCTTACCTTATAGGGTCTGTGTTAACTCCCTCCAATAGTTAGTGTCAGAATTGAATGGAATTGTAGGAAACCCAGTTGATGTCAGAGATTGGAGAATTGGCAACGGAACTATGTTATCTGGAGTCAAAGAAGACACCAAATACTTTTGCTAAGTGAAATAAGCCAGACACGAAAGAATAAATATTTTGATTCCACTTATATAAAATACAGAGATTGGGCAAATTCATAGAGACAGAAAGTAGAAAAGATGTTACCAAGGGCTGGGGAAAGCAGGAAATGGAGAGTTATTATTTAAAGGCTACAGAATTGCTGTTTGGGATGATGAAATAGTTCTGGAAATGAGTAGTAGTGATGGTTCTACAATACTGTAAATGTATTTAATGCCAATGAATTATATACCTAAAAAGGGCTAAAATGATAAATTTTGTTATGTACATTTTACAATAAAAAGGTAACAAAAATATATTTTAAAAATAGTAATCAGATACAAATACAAAAACATATCCCACCTACCCTTGTAAATATTATTTCCAAGGTTCATAAATGCTATAAACTTCAGAGGGTCTCATATTTAAATTACTTAAAAGTGTAAGTATACTCCTTTGAACAAAATATGAATCGCAGAGTCCACAATGATAACATCAAGTAGGTGGGGAGAGCAGAAATTGGAAAATTCTTTCTTATAGTAGAATGCTGACTAATAAATGTAGAATAGAGTTAGAAAATCACACTTTTGAAAACCTCATAGTAGTAATTATTTCAGGAAATAGTCAACTCAAGGATGCTAAAACTGGAAAGTGAAAGTTTGATGAGAAACAGATATTTACATAGTCTCAAAGTATCTCTCCATAAACTTAATACAAAGGAAAAATTTACAAGGAAGAAACCTGGTGGGCACCATTTTAACCACATGATCAAAGTTACTACCATTGCTAATGACAAAAACCAACATTATGTGCTTCCTGACGTGAAACACTTGAAAGAGCACAGCATCATTTATGTAGTATTTCTGGAATAATGCATAACCTGAATCAAATCATGCAAAAACAGAGTGAAGGGTATCTACAAAACAGTCTGTCTTTTCCAAAAATGTCAGTATCGTTAAAGACAAAGGGCTAGGGAATCATTCCAGATTAAAGGTGACTAAAGAGATACGAAAACTAAATGCAATATGTGATCCTGCTGTGAACCATGCATCAAGAAGAGAAACTGATATAAAGGATATTGAGACAACTGGTGAAATTTAAATCTGGACTTAAGATTGGATAATACTAGATATCAATGATAAATGTCCTAATTTGGATCATTGCTCTGTGATGCTATGAATGGATGGCCTTATAATCAAGGGTAAAGGTAAGGGGCATGGTATCTGCAATTTACTATCAGTTGATTCAGAAGAAAACATTTTAAAAAAGAAGAAAAAATTATTTATAAATTTATATATACATATATATAGAGAGAGAGAGGGGAGGGGTGAGTGAAGAGAACAAATGTGACATAACAATTAGTCAATCTGGGTGAAGAGTATATGGGAGTACTGTATACTATTATTGCAATTTTTCTGTAAATTTGATATTGTTTCAAAGTTAAAGTTGTTTTTTTTAAAGGATATGAAAGACTTCCCACAGAGGTATGCCATGTTCATGCTTCTGGAGAGTCCCTAGCTTTCATCAGACTTGTGAACACTCCCTTCAAAAAGGGTTAAGAACATCCCCTTTTCATTATTACTTGCATTTCTATATTTGACCATATTCCCTCATTCTTCTAAATGGCACTTAAATTCAAATAGCAAAGATAAAGATCTTGCATTGAGCGAGACAGGATGGCTTCTAGTTAGTCTGAGTATCAGAAAACAAAAGATTTTAAGTAAAGCAGTAAAACTTAAATACTGTAAAAAATAATAGCTTTTGCTACATTAGCAATGAATATTATTCTTTCTTCCATTTTTAAAAACCAATCGTTGCCCCAAAACATTATTCTCATTTGTTTTATAATCATTTATTCATTCATCCTGGAAATATTTATTGATTTCAAACAAACACTGTTCACTGCTAGAGGGGGGAAAAAAGCTGCAAATAATCACTAATTGATTGAATTGACTCTTTTCACTGCAATTGAAATTAAAATATATTTATTACATTAGAAAGTGAAGTTTACTCTCTGTGGCTAAGATAGATGAATATGATTGTGGGTGAAAAATGAATAAACAGTAAAACAAAAAAAACAGTTTAAAATAAGAAAATCACATATGCAATTTCACAAGAAAATGAATTGCAATTCACCTTTACTTTTATTTTATGTTGCTTAATTCTATATACATTACACATATACATATATACTTGTTATACAAAAATGTATACAAAAATCCAAGTAATTTAATATCTAAAAAAGGAAGAGGGAGATACTGCATTTGATTTCTGGTACTCTTCCATTTAAATACTTTTAAAATTCAGATTTCAAGGAGACAAATTGAAAGCCATTAATTTTTCAGAAAGCTTTGTGTTCACATAAATTTATCCTTCAACTATATTTTTATTGAAACAATAAACCATTTGACTGGTTGCAAAGTCAAACTGAATAAGCCATGGTACTGAGCAAAAGCAGAACTTTCTTTAGCTCTGCTTTTATCAGCCTAGAATCAACTTCTAACATACGAAATGCAGAGTACAACAGTGATTTTTAACCTTATACTATTAAATGCCATATTACATAGCTGACAATGCATAGCACACCCTATATGGTGTGTCTACAGATTCTTGTTAAAAAATATAATACTAAAAATAATAATAATTATTAGAAATTTTGCTGTTCCTAATCTCTTTTTTATTCAATTTGAAAAACAGTGTATCTTTTCCATTGTGCTTGGCAACTTGACATCATACCTAAATAAATAATTTAAACATCGTGTGGACCAAATATATACATAAACTTTTAAAAATTCTTGGTATTGTTTAATTCAGTTATAATTTCAGTTCTATAGTTATCAATCAGAGCAAATATAAAGAATTTAAAATTTAAAAAAAGAATTTAAAGTAATATTCCTCAACAATGTGTTAGCATGTTTTTACAGAGTGAATTGCTGAGGCATAAAAACATTACATGATTCGCCCAAGGTCATGAAAGGAGTAAGAGGTGGATGAAAGAGTATTTCTTCTCTAACTTCAGTGTCTGTACTGAATTATGCCATCCTGCAAAATTAGCTCAGTGCAACAGATGCAGAAATTAGATGCAATATTTTAGGAATGTTTGTTTAACCTAAACTGCGATTATTAATGAACTTAACTTTTAAAATCTGTATGTTTATTATACATCATCAGGAATTTATAAAAAGAAACATGATCATTTTCTGAATTATTAGGCATGTAATGAGTTACTGTTTAAATGTGACACAATTGATTGCAAAAACAAAATCAACAATACAATTTTAAACAAACAAGTTCAGTCTAGGATGCTTCTTAACATTTTTTTTAAATAGTAATTATAGAACCTACAAAATTTAGAGGACAGTACCACAGACACAAACATACTAATATAAATGGATTAAATCGTCTTCTAGTTGGTCTTTTGTTTTTTATGAAAACGTTCTAACAAAGCGCTCATAATGTTTCCCGGTATTCTTTGGTGCTTATCAATCAAAGCTTGAACAGCATTCTTTGTCTATTAAGAAAACAAAAGAAAAGCCATTATTCTTTTAGTTCTCAAAATAGATCATTTATGTTGTAAAGATTTTAATATACTACTTTCAAAAAAGTCCTTCTTAATTTAGCACCCATCTCTCCTCAAAATTAGTGACTTCCTTCTCAGCACACCCACAGTGTAGTGTAGTCCTCATACTGATTTTATTATGCTGGAAGTACAGTTAATGTTACATGGCTATTTTCTACACCAGACTGTAAGTTCCTTAAGACATAGCTTTGTATTTCTCCAGCACCGAGCACAGCAATGCTTTGCATACAATAAACACTACAAGGAACTGAAGGAGAAAAATCAGAAGAAAAAAAGTAGTAGGAAATTTTCTAGTGGAAGTTTTACTCCTTTCTATTCATGAATAAACTTTTGTGTATTTTTCTTTCATCACTACACACCCAAACAACTACAGCAGGCAGTGCAAGAGGACAAAGTGAGGAAAACTATGAATGAGCTGATATACTTTTCAGTTCATTAGGTCATTTTCTAGAGAGTTTAACAGGAATTTAAATTAGGTCACAGCAATGGAAAAGTCTATTAAGATATAATAAGAAATCTCCCAAAACTATTTGTTTCCCATTCAATTCACGACAAATTTCAATAATTTTTACTTTTAGATCAGTTTGTGGCTATCTAAAAAAATTTCTGTGCATGCACATAATGCATGTGTGTACCCGCATACACACTTCCTTTCAGATGCTAGCCTTTCAATAGCCTTCTTTTTGTAAATTTTGGACCTTCATCTTTTTTTTAAGTTTTTAGTTAAATTCCAGTTAGCTAACATACAGTGTAATGTTAATTTCAGGTGTACAATTTAGTGAATCACCACTTCCATACATTACCCGGTGCTCATCAGAAGTGCCGTCCTTAATCTCCATCAACTATCTCACCCATCCCTCCACCCACCTCCCTTCCAGTAATGATCCATTAGTTCTCTATAGTGAAGAGTCTGAGCTGCATCTCTTTTAAAATATAATTAATAAACCCTAACCCAAAGATGTATTTTAAAAATATGCCTCTCTAGGGGCGCCTGGGTGGCTCAGTCGTTAAGTGTCTGCCTTCGGCTCAGGTCATGATCCCAGAATCCTGGGATCGAGCGCTGCATCAGGTTCCCTGCTCAGCGGGAAGCCTGCTTCTCCCTCTCCCACTCCCCCTGCTTGTGTTCCCTCTCTCACTGTCTCTGTCAAATAAATAAATAAAATCTTTATTTAAAAAAGTATACCTCTCCAAAGCACAAGTTTTCACATCTATGAAAGGAGAACTATTTCATACACTTATTGTAAATATTAAATGAAATTGCAACCACGTCCTCAGGTACTTGGCACAGTGACTAAAAGTGGCTAATACAGGTTGTTTTCTGTGAAGTATATTCTTTAAATTGTATTCATGTATTTAGAAAACAGATGCTTTGGAAGCTGTAACATTAGTGAAACAAGTCTCTAATCTCAAGCTCAAAACTTAATAAACGGATCAAGTACAAAGTAATAAAAACGTAAGATCATTTGTAAGATGTACCTGTCATCTGAGATGTGAAAAGAAAGCATTTGGAAGTTCAGACTTGAGAGCTCATTTGGTGGGAAATGACAGGGAAGGACACATGAATGAGCCGCTCTTTGGTCTGGGTCTCCAAGGACCAGTAAGATTTCACTGACAGTGAAGGCAAAAGCAGGAGGAAAAAGACCACAGGAAAACAATTGCCTAAGGAATGGTGAGTTCGTGAGTTTGGCTGGAGTTTCAGGTATGTGTTCAGAAGCTGGGTGTACAAGGCTCTAAAATTAGAATTCAATTAAATCATGAAAGGCCTTAAACACCAAGTGAAAAAGTATAGGCTTAATTTAATATGAACTGAGGTGTCAAGGAAGTGCTGTGGGTGACGAAATATCAGGGCAATGCATTAAGAAAATACAACTCTTGCAAAATCACCAATGACACCTTTCTGTCACCAAACCCAGTAACAGTCTTTTAATCTTACTTGACCTCTCAATCACCATTGATCTTGCTTCTGAAATTCTCATACTGGAGGAAAAGCTAGCTTTTCTTCTAGCTTTCAGGCTGCTCCTTTCCAATCTTCTTTGCAGATTTATAATCCCAAAATCAGGCACTGACTTATTCTTCAAAGGTTCAGACAACTTTAATTAACTTTCATTCGCTGATGACTCCTAAATTTGTATCTCCAGCCCGCTCAGCTTCAAATAGGAATATTCAATATGACTTCCCATGAATGTTTTAAAGGCACCTCAAATTCAATATCTTTAAGACTAACCTAACATTCTTTCCCTCATACTTTGTCTTTTTCTTAGTTCCTTCCCTATTTCAGCAAATGACACTACCAGGAACCTAGCCAAGTAAGCCAAAACCTAGGAGTCACCCTTAACAACTCCTGCTTCCCACTCACAATGGCTAATCCATCGGCAACATCCATTTGTTTCACCTCCCAAATACCACTCACATCTATCCACTTCTCTCCAACTTCTTTCCACCCTAACAATACATATATATGATATATGCATGTATATATGAATAAACCTATATTTACATATATATGTGGATGTGTGGATGAGACTGTAGAGAGAGAGTTAAAGAGACAGACAGAAACAGACACTGTAAATGCAGAGATGGAACAAAAGATTAAGCTGAGAGAACTTTCAGGAAATGTCCCAAGTGCCCTGTTCAGCATTAGCACACTATATTTTAATTTAGATTTAGATACTGCTTACAAAATGGTTTTCCACAGTCAAATGACTGAACAATCTATCACCCATTTTTAAATGAGATTTCATTTCTACATTAATTTGGATGCTAATAATTTTGAATTTGTGATAATCCAGGGATCATTATCTTACAGTTTATGCTTATATTATTAACAGTGAAGATTGGAAAATCATGATAATATATTCACAAAAGGAAAATTTCAAGTATTCCTTATTTCAAGTATACTTTAGTTCAATAATGACAACGTACAATCAAAAATATGAATATGGCAGCTATGTATGGATGTATTTAAATAAATTCCCCCAAGAAATTCTACTATGCTTTGGTAGACTACTTGTTACTTTTGGTACTGATAATAAAGTACATAAAGTAACTGGAGAGGGTAATTGAGGTATTTCAAGGATTCAGAAAGGCCTTCTTTCTTACTTAAATAGGTAAGGTTGTACTATGTTTACATATTTTAATATATAAAATATCTAATTCTACCAGTGACACGAATGTGAGTAAATTTTGCTCTCATATGAAAAAACCTCATATGAAAAATCAAGGCACTGGAATTTAACTGGAATTTTCCTTAACTGAGGAAAATAAGGGAACAGGGTTCATTTAAGAAACCTGAAAGAAACGTCTGAGATCATCTAGTTCAATTTATCTGCTCTACAAATAAGGAAACTGGGACCTAGAAAAGAACATATATATCCAAAGTGACACTGCTGCCTAGTGGTAGTGCGAGGATTATAACCCAGATCCCTGAACCTCCACACCAGGCTTTTCCCCCTCCTTCTCTATTACCTTCTATTTTGCCCATAAAAATATATGGTATTTGTAAAAAGTGTTCCTAAGTAGCTCTGACCCACTTAAATCCTAATAGACAGGAAAAAAATTTTAAAAGAACAAAACAGAATTTGGTTATATTCTACAGGAGAATGCACTGTTTGGGGGCAGCAAAGAAATGTGTTATATAAATAGTAAAGTGCATGCGGGTAGAAGCAAAGTCACTGGGTAAGGTCTCACCCTGGTGTAAAAGCTCGTGGAGCCCTATCAGTAAGGCATCACTTCAGGATCAAGATGAGAGAAGCATCATGCACGCAGAGAGCATGTCCTGACCCTGAAAACCAGTGTCAAAGAGTTTTGTTTTCAGGATGCAGGAGGACAATAAACTGTGAGTATTTAATGGACCAGCAGCATAACTGGCGGTAAGTTTTCTAAGAATGAAGTTCATAGACAAGGCACATAATGTTTCTTTACTGTTCCCTTCGTGAAACTTCCTATCTATTTGAATTTCCTACCTGATTTGAATAGTCTCATCTAATATAACATTATAGCTGTTTCAGCTGTACATCCTTTTCTACGTGTCTGGTCTTGCTGAGTCCCAGTATGGTATAATAGATTACAGTGATTTATTCCCTCTGCCTACCAGCCCCTGTCTTTTGGGCCATCCTTTGGGAAGAATACAGATACTGTCCCAGTCAAGTCTAGTGTGGCCGTGTGACTGCTCTGGCCAGTAAAATGTCAGTGGGAGTAAGTAAGCCACTTCCAAACAGAAGCTTTAAAAGGTTCCACTCCTGACATTTTCTTTTTACCATGGCAACATCGTATCAGCCTGAACCCAGGAGAAAGAAGAGGTGGATCTCAGGGGAAATACAACATGAACAAGAAGTAAGCTTTACTGCCTCTGAGATTGGTTGTTTGTTACTGCAGCACACCCCAGCAAAACTGACTAAATCATCCAGTTTTCTTACGGGTAGAACAGCAATAATAAGGTCCACCCTACAGGATTAAATCAGACTTATGCATAGGAAATGTCATCACAGATGACATGATCTTATACATAGAAAACCCTAAACACTCCATAAAAGAACAGTTAGAACTAACAAACAAATTCAGCAAAGTTGCAGGATATAAAATCCACACACAAAACTCAGTTGTGTTTGTATACACTAACAATGAACACTCTGAAAACAAAACAAAAAACAAAAAACAATCCCATTTACAATAGCATCAAAAAGAATAAAATACTCAGGAAAAAACGTAACCAAGGAGGAGAAAGTCTCACACACTGAAAATTATAAAACACTGCTGAAAGAAATTAAAGACACAAATAAACAGAAAGACATCTGTGTTCATGGATTAAAAGATTTAATATTGTTAAGCTGTCCATTCTATCCAAGGTGGTCTACAGATTCAAGGCAATCCCTATCAAAATCCCAACAGCATTTTTTGCAGAAGTAGAAAAAAAAATCTTAAAATTCATTTGC